AATAAATTATATTTCATTTGCTTTGTTTTCTTCTGTTCCAGAAACGTGGTCCCAATTTGATACCAGAGAAGATCAAGTGCATTTACGTTACCATCGATACTATACCATTCTATCCTATTTGTTATTTTATATTGTGGACAATATACTATTAGGAACTAATTTGATCTGTATGATTTATAAGTAACTGCCCTGCAGCCTTTCACACCAAGAATATTTTTTAAATTACAAAAACAAAAAGAGGGAGAAAGGTCGTATTTCAGCAGCTGTTGATTTTTGCCATAATTACCAACGGGTATTTTGAAAGGCATTTTCAGGCAAAGATTGTATGCAATCTTACTATTTTTGACTACCTATGAAGCCACTACCATCAATGCCATGCCTCAACAGCATCCATCAAAGGAAAGAGGGGGGGGGGAGCAGCAGAACAAAAGCAATATTGGGGAAAAGGGCCACTGTAGCCAGCATTTACTGGATTAGAGGAGACAGGGATCGGTCTGAAATTGTAGAATTCACAACTATGGAAGACTGCTAACACCTCACAGAAAACAGAACATCGATATCTGCAACGGTTCAGGAGTTATGGCTCTGTGAAAACGTCCAAAAGGCGCCTGGAGCACGCCTACTGCTACTACCCGGCCTGCGCGGCCTGCGCTGCCCGCCGCCCGAGCGGAGCGATCGCCGGGCGGCGGCGAGCGGCAGGCGAGCCGGGCATTCGTACCGCGCGCCGCGGCGAGTAGTTAGGCGATCGCGCCACGGGGAGCGCTAGTGCGGCGAAATTGGTACGGCGCGTTAACACGGCTGGTACCCCTCTGGTTATGCGGTTCTCTGTGGGGGGGGGGGACGCAGCCCTGGACGGGGGCGCGAGCGGAAGCGCTGATAAATTAAATTGAAGGGGTCGGGGGTGTGTGGGGGCGATAGATAGTGGTGTTGTTGGACCCCCCGCGGGGGTGGCGGGCAAGGAGTGGAGTGGGCACAAACGTACAGTGTTGCCAACCTAATAGGCCATCACCACTGATCGGCTTTAATTAGCCAATGATGACTGGTTGGAAGCCCCCCCCCCCCCACACACACACACATACCCCTTACACGCTATCAAACGATACGGCACCAAAACAAGCGTTTTGTCTGCGCTCTCCGGCTGGACTCGCGTAAATGGAAAAATAGTGTGATTTGGAAATCGAAAGAGAGGGGGAATTCGTCAGGAATCGAATGCTTCGGTTTGTATTATGTGTGCGATGCATGCTGGGGCAAGGGCCCTGGACGCGCTTTCGGCCCCGCCCCGCCCCACACCGCCCCGCGGATGATCGACGGTGTGGTCCACCTTCAGGGGTGAGGCCGAGCGGGGCCCAACCGGAGCACGGGAGCGGCTCGATCCCTGTCCCCCGAGTGGAGTGGAGAGAAATCGCAGAAAAATGGATGGCCATCGCGTCTCCTTTCGAGAGTTTCCATCATGCAACTCTGACGTGTGTAAGATGACTCAACGGGTCTTTTGTTGCAATCCCCCGCGCACCCCCGCCCGCGCCCGTACGGCCCCGCCCAGCCCCGGCCGCTCTCCACAGCAGCTCGGCCCCTTCCCCTTGCTCACCCCTACTAAAATATTGAGTCACTAACTAAATTGGGTTGGACGAGGAGAGAGGGGAAAAAATGCCGCATGTAGCTATGGTTGTCCGAGTCATCCATTTCTCCTTTATTACCTTTGATAGTGAAGTGATGAGGTGGATGAGGTACTGCGATCGTAGCGCCGATAGTCTCGATCGCAAGAATCCTGCGACGGAACGTTTTCGCCGCAGGAAAAAACGTGATCGCCCATGATCCACTGTCGGGATAGCCCGGCCATGGCAAGTGGCTTGCTTCCGGCTTTGTTTTTTCTTCTTTTCTCGTCTTCCTATCATGGCGTACAGCCGCCCTTCGAGACGTGGAGAGACAATAAACTGATGCGTGCCCGAGCTCTCCCGGGAAGGGGTGAAGAGGGGGAAGGGGTAGGGGGTGTCGGCGTCCAGCGCGTCCAGCACCGCAAGAAGGTGAGTCAGCATCAGATGTTGATATGAACCCCCTCCCCCTCCTCTCTCCCTTTCCCCTCGATGGTGCC